TAAAAGTGACGGCCTCAGAATTCTCCTCTGAGGCGAGGAATAATATGTCTTGATTTAATTAAGCTGGTCCCTCCGCTAAAATACGGTGCCACGTGTCGCTTTCATCTATTGACCCGTAACAAAATATAAAAAATATATATATTTTTAAAAATATATTTCTACATTAAATAATAATTTAAGCCCTTGTTTGGTTCCCTTATTTTTTTCTCTTATTTTCAACCACAAATTTTTCAATAAAATAATATTACAGCAAATTCAAAAAAAAATCCTTATTTTTAACCACGCATTCTACTTTAAAATATTGTTCCAACATGTATTTTGTGATTAAAAAAAATAAAAAATGAGGCTCATAATTAGTGATATTAAACTACATTAAATGGAGAGAGTTAAAAATTTAAGAAATTAATTATATTCTAAACAAAGAAATTTACCCATAATTTGGAAGCCGAAAGCATCACCGCTGCAATGATCTGTGTGCCTATCTCCCTCATCGCAGATCGAGCGGTGCATCGTCTGTGATTCGCCATCATTACGACGCACTGCATGGTGGCGGTGGTGCAATGGTATTGGTGGCACTGGTGGGGTGGGGTATGTTGCGTTGTAGGGTTGTGTTGCTGGTGGTGTGTCTCTGCATAGGGTTGGGTTATTGGTTCGTGTTGGACTCGGTGCGTCGATGTTGGTTTATGTCTATGGGTGGTGGCAAAGGCGCCACGTGCAGTGAATGGTGGTGGCAATTTTTTACATGTTTTGGCTGTGACTTTTGTTGGTGGCGATGGTAGTGGATCTAGTGGTGGAGGTAGGTTTTGTTTTGGAACGACGGTGGATATGACAATAGCATTGTTGAATCTGATTGTGGTGATGACGGTGATTTTGATGATGCAGGTGGTGGTGGTGGTGGTTTTTGTTGATACAGGCAATGGTGTCAGTGGTTTTTGTTGACACATGGTGGTTGTGGTGTCCAGCGACAGATTTGAATTTTTTTTTTTTTTGGTGGGGTTTGTGGAGTGGTAGTGGTGGTGGTGAAGGAGGAAAAAGTGGGGTTAGGGATGGGGAAGTGTTTGTGACTAATTATTTGGTTGATGTTAACCAATAAATTGGTTAATATATGATCAATAAATAATTTGTGAACAATTATTTGGTAGATTGTAGCCAATAAATCAATTAATTTGTTATCAATAAATGATATGTGACGTATAAAATGTTATCGTGACTCAAAATTTATTAAATGATATGTGACGTATAAAATGTTATCGTGACTCAAAATTTATTAAATTGTGATCAAGAAATTACTTGTGACCAATTCATTTGATAATATGTGACCGTTAAACAACTTATAAAATTTGTGATTTTGTGATCAGTAAATAAATTGTTACATATAAAGTTTTTGATATGTGATTGAGAATAATTTGTGATCTAAAATCTTTTAATCCGTGACTTAGAAATTATTTGTTATGTGATCAAGAAATAATTTGTGACCAATTAATTTAACAATTGTGACCAAATTGTATAAAATTCCGACCTTAATATATTTAATTAATGAAAATATATTTAATTAATTATTTCATAAATAAATGTAACTACTATCTGATTTTAAAATTTTAAAACTTTATTTTTTATTTTTTAAATAAGCAATAATTAATCTCTTAGTTGTGAAATTTTTCCACAGTTTATGGCGAGGGTATGTAAATACGAGGGCCAGCTATTTACTGCATTCCCAATAGTCAAAGCATTTTACCCGCTCTGAGAGAGTGAGAAACCAGAAAGCTTGGAATCAAATGGCAACGAAAGTTTATGTTGTGTGAGTATTACTTTTAATCTTTTTTTTTGTTCCTTCCATAATTTTTTTGCTTTTTGGATATGGAAATTAGAGTTTTGGCCAGGGCTGGTCCTGTGAATTTCGGGGCCCGAGGCAAACTCCCGAAATTGGCCCCCCTAAAATCAAAGTAAATGTGAAATCCAACAGTGCATTATGCAACGTATTGTTAACTTAACACTGAAAAGTAGAACAATAAACAAATATAAAAAATAAAAGATTTATATATATTATAAAGTAACAAAACCGACAAGAGTTCAAACAATCAGTTAAATACTATTCTACTCGCTGTTTTTGAGGCACCTAGTGACATTAAATTAAAATGCTAATATAAAAAACCTAAAGCAGCCATATAACTTGGCCAGATGGTAATACTAGGTAGCCTGCCTAATTAAAAGGAATAATAAATCTTTAGTTGGAGTTTTGTTCTCCTCAACTTTTTGGAGCCTATTTACTGCTTGCAGAAATATGTATTGGCGCTACAGTCATCGGTCTCAAACCAAAAGTTGTTCCTGCCTCCTGACTTCTTAGATTCGATCATTCATAGAAAAATTAAATTGCCCAGG